GCTGCCCCATGATGTCCTTCAGTCTAGCAATGATTTACTTAAGGTCCTACTATGTGCATGGCAACATGTTGGGTGCTCAGCATTAGATGCAAAGAACAAGGTCTGGTGAAAAGGTAACTGGTGACAGTTGGCAGTTGGCAGTGTGTTCTCAGCATACCACACAACTGGTGCAGGCGGTAAGATTCCAGGTGATTCCAAGGAAAGTTCGGTGAGTAGGAGTGGCTGGCAGAAGTTTTAGAGTTGATGCCAGCTAGGCCTTAAAGAAATATCCTTTGGAGACAGGGGTGACAGGGAAAAGAGGGAGGATTTCCAAGAAGGGAGACTGGGATGAACAAAGGCAAGATTCTGGAGAAGATGATAACCTTGCTAGCAAGAAAGCTTTATTCCCTCTCTTCTCACCACCACTATTTCCGCAGCGCACTCTGGCAGTGTTCTTCCCTTGCGCCTTTTTCATGGTTACCTTCTAGCTCCTCCATAAACACATTCGTCACGTTGGTGTGTGTGTGTGTCCACGTTTCTGTGTGCTGCCGTGGGCGTGCGTGCTGGGATGTAGGATGTGGTAACACTGGCTGGTGAGTGCAGAGGGACGTCTGAGGAACGCTCTGTCCCTGCCAAGGGTGTCGTATGTGCAGAAGGGGCTGTGCCTGCTGTACATCAGAAGGATGCGTGGGCCAGGCGCGGTGGCGCAGCCTGTAATCAGCACTTTGGGGGGCCAAGGTGGGCGGATTACCTAAGGTCGGGAGTTCGAGACCAGTTTGGGCGACATGGCGAAACCCCGTCTCTACTAAAAATATAAAAATTAGCCAGACATGGTGGCGGGCACCTGTAATCCCAGCTATTCGGGAGGCTGAGGCACAAGAATCGCTTGAGCCTGGGAGGCGGAGGTTGCAGTGAGCCGAGATTGCACCACAGCCTGGGCGACAGAGCAAGACTCTGTCTCAAAATAAAAAATAAAAAGGATGTGTGTTCTGGGTGATGGTATAGAGCTTACGTGGGAGTAATAAACTGCCAGCCGTGCAGCACCGCGCTCACCAGTCCGCCACGCTGAACAAGCAAAGCCCAGAATGCTTCGAGCTAAGCCCGGGAGAGGCGGGGCTGGGCTGCGGGGCGGAACCTGGAATCTGGCGGCGGCGGAAACGCTACTTCTGCGGGGCAAGATGGCGGCGCCCAGACAGGCCTGGATCACGTAGGTGGCGGGGATGAAGGGACGGATTTCAGGTGATCTGGGCGGAGGACCCAGGGTAGCGTGTCCAATTTCTTTGCTGGAACCTGCCTGCGGGCCTTTGGTCTGTAAGGGAGCAACTGTGGCTTCCTCAGTGCATAGATCTCGAGCACGGCCCTTGAAGGGGCGGCAAAAGCTGAGACTCAGTGATTACTCATTGCAGAGTTGGGTGGTCCAGGAGGCTTAACTAGAACCCTTGACCAGAGCGATAGGGGCTAGTCACGCGTCCCTACTCGGGATTGGATCCTGGCTCTGTAGGATAGGCTGCAATGTAAGAGCCCCAGAGACTCCTCAGAGGCCAAGATAAACCCAGAGGTCCATTGTTAGGACTACTTTTTTTACGAGTTACTCTTTAGGCATTACTCGTTAGGATTACAGGCTTGAGCCACCGCGCCCGGCCAGTGTTATCACTTCTAGCACGGATTGGTTCTGGACAAATCTGTTCTGGAGTTTGTGGGGAAATACACTGGTGGCTTTACTTAGGACTAAAAGAATTGTTACTGAGGTTTATTTATATAAGTAACAGGCACTGGGCTAGGCGCTTTGCGTGCATAGTCATTTAAATCCTCACGTATTTCCTATTATATAGGACCTGTTACTCACATTTTACAGTTGTGGAAACGTGACTTGAGTCAGCATAGAGGCCGGGCACGGTGGCTCACGCCTGTAATTCCAGCACTTTGGGAGGCTGAGGCGGGCGGATCACCTGAGGTCAGGAGTTCGGGACCAGCCTGGCCAACATGATGAAACCACGTCTCTACTAAAAAAATACAAAAAATTAGCCGGGCGTGGTGGTAGGCGCCTGTAATCCCAGCTACTCGGGAGCCTGAGGCAGGAGAATCACTTGAACCCAGGAGGCGGAGGTTGCAGTGTTCCGAGATCGTGCTATTGCACTCCAGCCTGGGCAACAAGAGGGAGAGTCCGTCTCAAAAAAAAAAAAAAAAAATAGGTAACTTGCTTTCGCACGTTTAGTGCATTTAGTAAGTAGTGGAACTGGTATTTGACTTCTAGCCTATTGATTCCACAACTGGTGCCCATAACCCCCCTAGCTCTTTGTGATGTAGGTATGGTGCACCCTGTGAAGTGAGCTGGACTTTGCTTTGGGGTCACATGAATCCATGGATAAGTAGGAGGAATTGTTTCTGCTTACGCAGAATCTTACAGGAGTGAATTGTTAACATACCATGGATTCTCACTTCATCTAGTCCAGCCTTCCTTAGCGCCTTTGGGTAGGCACTGGGGTAGGAGACTTTTTCCTTGTTTGTTGGCCGGACTGCCCAACAATTAGATATGGTTAACTGCCCTTTGGCTGTATAAATAATAAGAATCATAACTGGCGTTTGTGTCCTTTCATGTATAAGACTCTGTTCTAATCTTCTTACATATATATAATTAATTCAGGAGGTAGGTACAGTTATCTTCATGTTACAGATGAGGAAACAAGCAGAGTAACTTCAGTAAAATACCCTGCTTAATCTTACACAGTTAGTAAATTGTAGAACCTGGATTTCAACACAGGCAGTCCATTTTCATACTGTTTGCCTACCATTCAGGAAAAGGCACATCTGTGTACTTTGCTGTTGTCATGCTACAAACAGTACTTAATACAAGTTCTATGCCAAATTTAAGACGAAATTTTGTAGACAGGTCTTTGCTCACTTCATCCACTTCCTTCAGTTCTCTGCTTATCTAAGTTTTTTCCTTCAATATTGAGCTCTATTTTTAACCTTTAGGGATTTTTCCCACCTCTGAAATCCTGTAGCAGTGATCTTCTGTGTGATTAATTTGATCACTGGGATGTACTGCCTTGTAAATGTATATGCATGTTTACCATATTCTCTCACCCCAATTTTGGGTACATCATTGACCAAAGGAAGACCTTTACAATCTTGGAGACATCATTTTAACTGTAAACCTTTGGAATTTCTAGACTTGTGTGGGCAAAGAGAGATAATGAAGTGAGAAATTATTAAAAGACCCAGTATTTCGGCATGGTCTCTGTCTCCCCAGTAAGCCCCTTGAACCCAGGGACTGGATTTTACCCCCATTTCTTTATATTTACAGCCCCTTGTACACCGCTCTGCCCAGAGTAAACTCGCAAAAAATGTTTTTGATAATGTTTGTAAGGTCACACCGTCACACTAAATGCACTAAATGTACAAAATTAGGCAAGTTACCTATGCTTTTTTTTTTTTTTCTGAGACAGACTCTCGCTCTTGTTGCCCAGACTGGAGTGCAATAGCACGATCTCAGCACACCGCAACCTCCACCTCCTGGGTTCAACTGATTCTCCTGCCTCAGGCTCCCGAGTAGCTGGGATTACATGAAATTGTTTCACCATTTCTACCCCTTTTAGCCTACCCCCTACCCCTGTGTTGGGAGGTGTTTCCAGTGCTGGCTTAGTTATTAGATCTGATCCTGCTTAGAAGTAGATGAAGAAAAAGTAAGGAAATGTGTCATTCAGCACTTTTTTTTTTTTCTTTTTTTTTTTTTTTTTTTTTTGAGAAAGAGTTTCATGCTCTGTCTCCAGGCTGGAGTGCAATGGCACGATCTCGGCTCACCGCAACCTCCGCCTCCCAGGTTCAAGTGATTTTCCTAGCTCAGCCTCCCGAGTAGCTGGGACTACAGGCGTGTGCCACCACGCCTGGCTAATTTTTTGTATTTTTAGTAGAGATGGGGTTTCACTGTGTTAGCCAGGATGGTCTCGATCTCCTGACCTCGTGATCCACCCGCCTTGGCCTCCCAAAGTGCTGGGATTACAGGCGTGAACCACCGCACCCGGCCTTCATTCAGCACTATTGTTAGTCCCAGCTATCTAGCTTGTCTACCTCTCCATCTCACCCTCCTTCAACTTTTAGGAGGTGGTCAACTTCATCATGTTCTCCCATGTACCATATTTATTCCCTGCTTTTTTCTTTTTTTCTTTCTTTTTTTTTTTTTTTTTTTTGGAGACGGAGTCTCACTCTGTTGCCCAGGCTGGAGTGCAGTGGCTGGATCTCAGCTCACTGCAAGCTCCGCCTCCCGGGTTTACGCCATTCTCCTGCCTCAGCCTCCTGAGTAGCTGGGACTACAAGTGCCCGCCACCTCGCCCGGCTAGTTTCTTTGTATTTTTTAGTAGAGATGGGGTTTCACTGTGTTAGCCAGGATGGTCTCGATCTCCTGACCTCGTGATCCACCCGTCTCGGCCTCCCAAAGTGCTGGCATTACAGGCTTGAGCCACCGCGCCCGGCCTCTTTTTTCTTTTTTTCGAGATAGAGTCTAGCTCTGTTACCCAAGCTGGAGTGCAGTGGCGCAATCTTTGCTCGCTGCAACCTCCGTCTCCTGGGTTCAAACCATTCTCCTGCCTCAGCCTCCCAAGTAGTTGGGACTACAGGCACATGCCACCACGCCTGCCTAATTTTTTTGTGTTTTTAGTAGAGATGGCGTTTCACATTGTTGGCCAGGCTGGTCTTGAACTCCTGACCTTAAGTGATCCACCCTCCTCAGCCTCAAAGTGCTGGGATTACAGATGTGAGCCACTGCGCCCGGCCCTATTCTCTGCTTCTATACCTTTGCCTAGCTATCCCTTCTGGCTAGAGGCCTATCTCATCCTTCAAGGTCTGGTTCAGTGATTTTCAACTGGGGGTGACTTTTTTCCGAGGTGACATTTGGCAATGTCTGGAGACATTTTTGCTTGTCACAAGTGGGGGAGGAGGTTTGCTGATGGCATCTAGTGGGTAAAAGCCAGGAATGCTGCTAAACATCCTACAGTGCACAAGAGAGCTTCCTACAGCAAAGAATTATCCAGCCATAAAGATCAATAGTCCCTACTGAGAAAGCTTAGTGTAGTTCCAGCCTTTGCTCTTCAGGAGATTCTTTATAGTTCTTCCCCATCTGCCTCACTGTTCCAGACTTCCAGGACACCCAGGCACCCACAGCACTAGGCAGTAGAACATAGTGAGTAAGAGCACGGACTGACTGGGATTGAATCCTAATCCTAGCACTTACACTGAGACCTTGGGCAAATACTTAACTTCTCAGCACTCTTCTTTTCTCAGCTGTAAAATTTGAATAATAGTAGTAACCTACCTCATAGGCTGTTATGAGGATTAAATGAATGAATATGGAAAAAGTGTTTTTATTATTACCAGCATCTAGCTCAGGGGTTCCAAAACTAGCCAGCCAGCTTGCAGGCATCTTTGGCCAGTCCAGTGTTTTTTGTTTTATAATTGAGATATAGTTTATATACCACAGAATTCATCATTTCATTTTAATATTATTATTATTATTATTATTATTATTTTGAGACGAGTCTCACTCTGTCATCCAGGCTGGAGTGCAGTGGTGCGATCTTGGCTTAACGCAGCCTCTACCTCCCAGGTTCAAGTGATTCTCCTGCCTCAGCCTCCTGAGTAGCTGGGATTACAGGCACGTGCCACCACGCCCAGATAATTTTTTTTGTATTTTTAGTAGAGATGGAGTTTCACCATGTTGGTCAGGCTGGTCTTGAATGCCTGACCTCGTGATCCACCTGCCTCGGCCTCCCAGAGTGCTGGGATTACCAACGTAAACTACTGAGCCTGGCCAGAATTCATCATTTTAAAAGTTTACAGGCTGGGGCAGTGGCTCAGGCCTGTAATCCCAGCACTTTGGGAGCCCGAGGTGGGCAGATGTCTTGAGCCCAGAGATTGAGACCATCCTGGACAACATGGTGAAACCGTGTCTCTATAAAAAACACAAAAATTGCAGGGTGCAGTGGCTCACATCTGTAATCCCAGCACTTTGGGAGGCCAAGGTGGGTGGATCATGAGGTCAGGAGTTTGAGATCAGCCTGACCAACATGGTAAAACCCCATCTCTACTGCAAAACTGCAAAAATTAGCCAGCTGTGGTAGTGGGCACCTGTAATCCCAGCTACTCAGGAGGCTGAGGCAGGAGAATCGCTTGAACGTGGGAGGCAGAGTTTGCGGTGGGCCAAGATCGTGCCATTGCACTCCAGCCTGGGCAATAAGAGCAAAACTCTGTCTCTCAAAAAAAAAAAAAAAAAAAAAAAAAAAAATTAGCTGACTGTGGTGGTACATCTGTAGTCCTAGCTTTTTGGGAGACTGCGGTGGGAGGATGGCTTAAGCCCAGGAGATGGAGGTTGCAGTGAGCCAAGATCATGGTACTGCACTCCATCCTGGGTGACAGAGCCAGACCCTGTCACAATAAATAAATAAAGTTTACAATTCATGGCTTTTAGTATATTCACAAGGTTGAACATTTTCATTACTCCCAAAAGACGCTCCATACCCATTAGCTGTCCATTCCCATTTCCCTCCAGCTCTCCTAGCCCCTGGCAATTACTAATCTACTTTCTGTCTCTATGGATTTGCCTATTTTGGACATTCCATATGAACAGAATCATACAATATGAGGCCCTTTCTGGCTAGCTTCTTTCTTTCTTTTCACTAAATAAAATGTTTCTGAGTCATCTAGCTTCTTTCACTTAGTGTAATGTTTTCAATGTTTGTGCATTAGAACTTCATTCCTTTTTATTGACAAATAAGTGTAATGTCTCTATGTTAATTTTTTTTTTTTTTTTGCCCTTTGTGCCATGATTATGTAAAGTCTTAACCTTTGGAGAAGCTGGGTGAAGACTATATATGGAAACTGTTCATACTATCTATATAAATCTGTAAATCTAACATAACAAATCACAAGTTTAAAAAGTGTATAAATTTATAGTATATAGAGAAAAATAGAAATGTGCATATTTTATCATGATACAAAACAAACATTTGATTGCTGATTTGTTCGTTGATTTATTTATTTATTTATTTATTTTTGAGATGGAGTCTGGCTCTAGCCCAGACTGGAGTGTGGCACGATCTCGGCTCACTGCAAGCTCCACCTCCGGGGTTCACGCCATTCTCCTGCCTCAGCCTCCTAAGTAGCTGGGACTACAGGTGCCTGCCACCAGGCCCAGCTAATTTTTTGTATTTTCAGTAGAGACGGGGTTTCACTGTCAGGGTGGTCTCAATCTCCTGACCTCATGATCTGCCTGCGTTGGCCTCCCAAAGTGCTGGGATTACAGGCGTGAACCACCGTTCCCTGCCGATCCTGTCCCTTAAAAAAAAAAAAGATTATATTGAATTATAGATTTGGGGAGTATTAAGTCTTCTAATTCATAAACATGGGATGTCTTTCCATTTGTTTAGGTCTTTATTCTTATTGTTATTAGTTTTTGTAGAGACATGATGGTCTGGCTTTGTTGCTCAGGTTCATCTTGAACTCCTGGCTTCAAGCAGTCCTCCTGCCTCAGCCTCCCAAAGTGCTGGGATTACGGGCATAAGTCACTATGCCCGGCCCCATTTGTTTAGTTCTTTAATTCAATAGTTTTCAATGGACAAGTCTTGTACTTTTTTGGTTAAATTTATTCTAAAGCATTTTATTCTTTTTGATGCTATTGTAAATTCAGTTGTTTTCTTAATTCCATTTTCTGCATGTTCTTTGCTAGTGCATAGACATACTTTTTTTTTTTTTTTTCGAGACGGAGTTTCATTCTTGTTGCCCAGGCTGGAGTGCAATGGTGCAATCTTGGCTCACGGCAACCTCCGTCTCCCAGGTTCAAGTGATTCTCCTGTCTCAGCCTTATGGGCGCCCACCACAACTCCCAGCTAATTTTTTGTATTTTCAGTAGAGATGGGGTTTCACCATGTTGACCAGGCTGGTCTCAAACTCCTGGCCTCAGGTGACCCACCCGCCTCGGCCTCACAAAGTGCTGGGATTACAAGCGTGAGCAACTGTGCCTGGCCACAAATGTTTTTTACATTGATAGTTTACAGCCCAAGGTTTTTAATAATTTGCATAACTTTAGGCCAAGCATGTTCTTTCCAGTTTGATACAGAATCATCACCCCCCATTATGACACATACCTGCCCGGCCCTTGATGACATTTTCCTCAGGTCTCCTGCTGGTTGTTCCTGAGAGTTTTATCACCCATAGATTATAAACAACCTAAGTTGGCTATAAATGTTGTTGCTAGGCTGATGACATCAGGGAGGGCTGAAGACGGAATGGCAATAAGGTATGAATGAGGAGGAATGAATTCATGTGAACCCAAGGATAAAGAAGATCTTCGCTGATGCCCAGTAAAGAGAATCAGGGTTCAGTTGCAGAGGGCCCATATTCTTTGTTGCTCTTAGGGATGAATAAGAGGGAATCCCCGCACAGAGACACGGCTGGAGAGAGTCATACTGGGGAGGCAGCTGGAGCAGCACGATGCTGTCGCGACCAAAGCCAGGGGAGTCCGAGATGGACCTGCTGCGCTTCCAGAGTCAGTTTCTCGCAGCTGGTGCAGCCCCGGCGGTGCAGTTGGTGAAGAAAGGAAATAGGGGCGGTAGTGATGCCAACTCAGACCGGCCTCCGCTCCAGGACCATCGGGATGTGGTGATGTTGGACAGTGAGTGCCCGGGGGTATGAGGCTGAGAAGTAGAGAGGGTACAGCCTTGGGCCCCTTCCTCTTCATGATGTGGTTGGATTCAGACACATCATTATTATTTCAGACACTGCATAGCCTCTGTTGCTTCAGCCCCATTTTACATAGGAAGAAACTGAGGCTCAAAGAGGTTAAATATCTTACCCAAGATGACACGGCTTGAGCCAGGGCCCCATGGCAGCTGTCTTTCTTCCCTAGCCTGCAGAGTCTTCCTAGTATGTGCATATACTCATGTTTGGGATCTTTTCTTTCTCAGATCTCCCAGATTTGCCCCCAGCTTTGGTCCATTCTCCCCCGAAGAGAGCCAGGTCCAGCCCTGGCCACCCCCTGCCTGAGGATGAGGACCCAGAAGAGAAGCTGAGGAGGCATGATCAGCACATCACTGCTGTCTTGACTAAGATTATTGTGCGTCTCACTCGGGCTGAGTAGGATAAGATGTTCCAGGGCAACAGGGATATAGGATGCTTGGGGCGGGTGAGCCTTATGAGTGGACGGTGCTTCAGAAAGGTAGAGTTTTACCCCCCGAGGTCAGGTTGGGGGCTGGGTTAGAATCACTCTGCCCTGAAGGGAGGAGGGTCCATAACCCCCCAGAGTGAGGTTCTCATCATTCAGAACTGGGCTAATAGGATAGGGTCCAGCCTAGGGAAGTCTCTCCATTGTGCTTTACAACTTTGTGCTTTGTTGCTACAGGAACGAGATACAAGTTCAGTGACTGTGAATCTGCCTATGCCCAGTGGCGTTGCTTTCCCCGCTGTGTTCCATCGCTCGCAGGACACACAGGTAGGGAAGGGTAAGCTTAGGTGGTGCTTAGGAGACAGACAGGTGAGTCTCACAGTGCATCTTCTTCAGGCAGGTAGTTTAGTGATGATAAGCAATTTCATTTACAAAGCAGGACTATACTAAGCACTTCATACCCATTACTTCTTTTAATCTTCATAACACACTTATAAGGCAGGTATCATGATGATACCTTGGGGATGAGGATTCCTTATTCCCATTTTTCAGATGAGGAAACTGAGACCCCAAAGAGATAAATAACTTGTCCAACACCACACACCTAATAGGTAGAAGAGCCAGAACTTCAACCCAAGTCTGTGAGATTCTAAGACCTTTATTCCTATAGACCTCTCCTTTTTCTGAGAACTAGGGTTGTGATCCCTGGAAATGGAGCAAAGCCTCTTTTATCTGTTTGTTCCAGAGGCCTTGATATAAAGAGGTTGAGAGGAAAGTGGGATAATGAGCATCAGTAACCTGGGTTTTCTTTTTGCCCCGCAGGGGAAATCAGCAACATCTGGTAAGAGAAGCATTTTTGCCCAGGAAATTGCAGCAAGGAGGATAGCTGAAGCCAGGGTCCCATCAGTTGGGGAAGTTGTGCCCAACCTGGGCCCACCAGAGGGTGAGCTGGGGTTGGAGAGGATTGGGCTTGGCCTTTTTAAAAGACACAATCATGAGGTCATTTTTGAAGACATATCTTCCTGCCTCAAATGGGAGGTGCATTTGAGCCATCTCAAGTAGTCTGAGAATACTAGGTATGGGAGACTTGGGTCCATATCTGGGTCTCAGGTGCTGGGAGTGGGGCAGGCCATTATGCAATCCTAAGAGAAAGGGAATAGGGCAGAAGTGTCTGGCAGAGACTGTAAAATGAATGTGTTGGCCAAGATTCCTTTAATGATGCAAATTATTAGCTGAACAGCTGGGAGCAGGCCCCTGGCTACAGATGGCTGCCTAGATATCCAAGAGAAGAGTCAGAAATTAGGGTGTTTCTGAGGAAAACCTTTTCGTGTAAGTACTAGGGAAGCGGTGAGTGGAGCAGCCACCTGGAGTCCCTGTGCCAGACCCAGTGGGGTCTCTCCACTCTGTCTGAGGAAAGCTTGGGTCTATACCTGTCTCCAGGGCTACTAGGCTTATAGAAGAAGGCCAGAAAACCCAGTTAGAGCCATGGAGGACAGAGCAATGAACATGATCATACCTTTCTTCCAGGTGCCGTGACCTGTGAGACACCCACTCCGAGGGACCAGGGCTGCCAGCTTCCTGGGAGCAGCCACAGCTTTCAGGGACCCAATCTGGTCACAGGGAAGGGGCTCAGGGATCAAGAAGCTGAGCAGGAAGCCCAGACTATCCATGAAGAGAACATAGCAAGACTGCAGGCCATGGCTCCTGAGGAGATCCTGCAGGAACAGCAGCGGTTGCTGGCCCAGCTTGGTATGGGTGCCTGACTTTCGTGCTGAGACCAGGCTAGGAGGGGAATACCACTTATTGAGCAAGGCTTACTGTGAGTTCTGGGCACTGTGCTGAGTACTTGAATGCTTTTTTTTTTTTTTTTTTTTGAGATGGTCTTGCTCTGTCACCCAGGCTGGAGTGCAGTAGCATGATCTTGGCTCACTGCAACCTCCACCTCCAGGGCTCAAGCAGTCTTCCTACTTCAGCCTCCCGTGTAGCTGGGACTACAGGCGCACACCACTACACCCAGCTAATTTTTTTTTTGAGACAGAGTTTCACTCTTGTTGCCCAGGCTGAAGTGCAGTGGTGTGATCTCGCCTCACCACAACCTCTGCCTCCCAGGTTCAAGAGATTCTCCTACCTCAGCCCCTCGAGTAGCTGGGATTACAGGCATTTGCCACCACACCTGGCTGACTTTTCGTATTTTTAGTAGAGGTGGGGCTTCTCTATGTTGGTCAGGCTGGTCTTGAACTCCCGACCTCAGGTGATCCACCCGCCTTGGCCTTCCAAAGTTCTGGGATTACAGGCATGAGCCACCATGCCCAGCCATTTTTTT